TTTTTTCAACAGCACAGCAGTGCCCCCACTGACCTGTCCCAACACCCCATGCCCTTCAACCCCCCCCAGCACCCCCCCAGAGGTCCGTAGCACGCTCGTACGGGGAGCGTCCGTACGCCCGTACGGGCGGCTGTACGTCTGTCCGTACGCCGTACGGCCCATACGGGAACCCCCCGTACGACGTACGGGCGACGACACAGGGGGCTTGGTCGTGCTGCCCTGTAACTCGAGCTGTATTAGTTCTGGGGAGTTGTCGAGGGTGGAAGGCACTCTAGTGTCTTTTGGTGAGCTGGTGCCTAGTCGATGCTGGCCAGAGCCGGGGCGGGTTGCTTTGCCCTGTGGCCTAGCAGGTGAGGGTTTTCTGGGGTGGGTCGTGCCACTATGTAACCTAGCAGTTGGGGGCATGAGGCCTGGTAGAGATTGGGTGTCGGGATAGAGGGGTAAGGCAGGTAAGGGTTGGGCTGCTGAAAGGCCCTAAGGCAGGTGTTTTTTTCGTTCCGAATGCTTCTTTGATCCGAGCTTTGGGGGATATAGGATTTCAGTGTTCTTGTGTTAAAAAAAAAGCCGAAGCCGGGTAATGGCCACGGTATCTCAAGGATATCGTCAAAAAAAAGGTTTGTTTGTAAGTGGTTCTGAGAATGCTTTAGGATTCTGGGGACTTCTAGCAACTTGCTTTAGGCTGTTTGATACTGGTATATTCATGGATCTGCGGTTGATCGATGCCAGAACGACGCTGGCCGGTGCTGGGGTGTCGCCCTGTAACCTGCTGATTGCAGGAGCGTGAGGGCTGGTAGAGAGATCTGGGGATGCTTCGGGGTGGGCATTCCAAGGGACAATCAAGGGTTGCTGTTGGGACGACACTGGCCGGAGCTGGGGGGAGTCGTGTTGCTCTGTAACCTAGCTGGGTGGGGGTGTGAGGCCTGGGAGAGCTCGACAGGGAATAAGACAGTGTTGGATAGTTTTAGAGAGTTTTGTTTGGGAGTAGAGGGGTTCTGAGCATTCGGAAAGAGGTCAGTAGTCATTCAAAGTTTTTCAACCTCTCCTTTGATTTTCTTGAATCTCTTCAATAGTTCTCAGATTGATTCTCAGCCGAAGCCGGGTAATGGCCCCGGTATCTCAAATGACTTGTGTAACTCTATATGGGACACTGGGCCCGGTTCCCAGCACGTGCTGCTCCCCACGAATAGACTGGAGCATTTGTCCCAAAAAAGAAAAAAAAAAAGAAAAAAGAAAAAAAAAGAAAAAAGAAAAAAAAGAAAAAAGAAAAAAAGACGGCTTTGTACAAGGGACGCTGAACCCGGTTTCCAGCAGGTGTCGCTCCCCAGTGTCCCCACCAATAGATGGAGTCCCCCCTACGGTGCAAAAAAAAAAAAAAAAAAAAAAAAA